AGTTCCATTCAATTGATTGTTCCACAAAGATCCGTAATGTTGCAATTTGGTCCGTACACGATCGATCCTTCCGAAATCCAGCCTGTTGATCTCGAAGTTGGGCGTCTACAAAGTCCTTCATTCTGTTTAACAATACCCTGTTGAAGACTTTGCCTGGTGTTGAGAGAAGAGTGATGCCTGTGTAGTTCTCACACTTACTGAGATCGCCTTTCTTTGGTATTTTGATGAGGTATCATTCTTTCCAATCTGATGGTACTTGTTCCTCATCCCAAATCTTCTTGAAGAGGATGTGAAATATTTTCGCAGTTGTTTCTACATCTGCTTTCCTTGCCTCTGCTGGAATGTTGTCTGGTCCTGGTGCTTTGCCGCTCTTGATTTGTCTGATGGCCATACTGATCTCCTCAATCGTAGGTGCGCCAATATTAATCTGGAGATCCGTGGATGCTGCTTCGATGTTGGGTGTGTTCAGTGGAGCTGGTCGATTCAAGAGTTCCTGAAAGTGCTCTACCCACCTATTTCATTGTTCTTCAGTGTTGCTGATTAATTTGCCTTCCCTACTTTTCACTGGTCGTTCTGGTTTACGATAGTTTCCGGCCAGCTTCTTTGTTGTTTCGTACAATTGTCTCAAGTTTCCTTCTCTTGCAACCTTTTCCGCCGTCATTGCTAGATCTTCCACATAATTTCGTTTGTCAGCTCTGATGCTTTTCTTCACTTGCCTGTTTGCTTCTGTGTATGCAGCTTGCGCCTTAACTTTCTCCGCTCTTGTTCGGCTGACATTGATTGCTGCCTTCTTGTTCCTCCTTTCTTCAATTTTTGCGAGAGTATCAATAGAGATTCATTCCTTGTGATGGTACTTCTTGTGACCCACAACTTCGTGACATGTTGAAGTGGTTGCCTCCTTAATCCCTTTCCAATTGTTCTCCAACGTTGCGTCCTCTCCATTGAGTAGATCCTGAAAGGCCTGGAACCTATTTGTGAGGGCTATCCTGAATTCATTGAGCTTTACAGTATCCCGAAGAAAGGCCGTATTAAACTTGTGCGATGTTATCTGCCCCGTTGTCCAGTGCTTCTTTAGCTTCAGTTTCATTTTGGCGATTAGCAAATGGTGATCTGAGGCTATATCAGCTCCTCTCCTGGTTCTCACATCCTCCATAGTCCTTCTGAACGTTTTGTTGACACAGATATGATCAATCTGGTTTTGAGTAGTGTGGTCCGGTGAAATCCATGTGGCTTTGTGAATGCGTTTGTGTGGGAATATTGTGCCACCGATGACCAGTTTGTTGAAGGCACATAGGTTTGCAAATCTCTCACCGTTTTCGTTCCTTTCTCCCAATCTATGTCATCCCATGATGTCTTCATATCCAGTGTTGTCCATTCCAACCTTGGCATTCAGGTCTCCCATAAGAATCGTCAAATCCTTTGGTGAACATTTCTCGACGATTGCCCGCAGCCTTTCGTAGAATTGATCTTTAACGTCGTCATTGTAGTCATTGGTAGGTGCGTAGCATTGGATGAAGTTCATTGTAATGTCCGCTTTCTTTGTTTTGAAGGATGCTTTAATGATCATCGGTCCATGAGATTCCCATCCTATCAGTGCCTTTTGTGCATGTTTGGACAGCATCAGTGCAACTCCTTGTGTATGTGGAGCGTTTTCATCTTCATGACCAGAATATAACAGCAGTTCCCCTGAAACTAGTCTCAGTTGTCCTACTTGTGTCCAATGCGTTTCACTGATTCCAAGCACCTCGAGGTTGTATCTTTTCATTTCTGCCGCAACTTGAAATAGTCTTCCAGTCTCCCACAATGTGCGAACGTTCCATGTACCTAAAAAAATGGTCGCTCTGGTTGTCAGAAGAGGCATCGGCCCCGTGACTTCCGAGGGAACTCGGCTTTCATCACGCGACGTCATAATTCTTCCTCCAACTCCCAGGGCGGAGTTGAAATGGTTTGAATTATTTTTTCTCGTTAGCATTTTTTTGGCAAGTTAGTTTTTGACGGAATGGGGTCGCCAACCCCATGTCCAACCCTCCTCCTTTACCCGGGCTTGGGACCGGCAGTAGCCCCGAAGGTTCTACTGGCGGAGTTATAATCCATGAAAGATGGTAAAAACTAAATAGCATTTTATTTTTCATTTATAAGATCATGTAGATATATTTATGAATATATACATAAAATAGCTCATCAAGAAGGTGTTGATTGAAGCTCCAACAATTGTACTAATCGTCAACTAAACTAGATTCAGTGATACATCTTCTAGTTTTAAGCAATTTCTCAGTTTGTGGTGAAATTTTATCGCAAATGTTTTGTCAAGTGAGCTTATATACTTTCATAAGCAAACATTCATGTAGCTATTAGTCTGTCTTGAAGCTCATACCTAAGCGAACTCATGGATTTATGGTGAAAAACTTGACCGTTTTGAAGAGAGACAATTATTCACTAATGATATCATATAATTATCGCTTAATTTCGTGAATCGATTGAAGTTACACACTTAAACCAGTGGATACTAATCTACAGGTTTACAGATTAAGTTTGCGTTGCGATTTAGTGAAACAGATTAGAAATCTACTCATGCTACATTTCAGACATTCACCTGCTAGTAAATTCAAATATTCTCGGACATATTCTTCAATTCAACATTCAGTAGCTATTAGAAATCAAATAATAATCATGTGATTTCATTTCGTTTATGAAACTGGTTGCAAGCAGATTATGTAATTCAGTTTGCAAGCATTTTGTTTTCAAGTAATCAATAACTTGAACCTTCTTACTCTGATACTGATTATTCACTAGATTTTAATCACTGACACGTTTGTTTTAGACTTTAAACAATGATTGCATTCAATTGCATGGTTACGGGTTCTAGTGATTTGACATAATATGAACTATGTTTTGATATTAACACGTTCATTGTGGCGGATAGTGAGTCACAGTTGAAATACTGAGCGAAATAATGCTCCTCGTTCAATGTGAACCTGTAACACACAGATTCACAGACAGAAATGTTATTAGTGAATTATTTTCAAAGTGACTGACCTCATGTGTATATATTTTACCAGTATTTTTATTATCATTTTTCTTAGGTACTGAAGTAATAATTTCGCAAATATGTATATGTCATCATTCATTGTTTTAGTTTGTAAAATTTGGCTATGGAAACAAACCAATAATTGATGATTGAATGACGCCAATTTATTTTGAATTGAATTCGTTCTCTTTTCCTTAATCATATGTTGGATGCCTAATATTTTCTGTTACCACTATTACTTCTATTGCTTCTAGTCTTGTAGCCTTCTTCTCGAGCATTTATTTATGCTGTGTTATTGTGGTATGCGAATTTGAACTGACGCTTATATGTTATTGACTTCAGGTTGCTTATTCCCATTCGACAATGTCAGGAATGCTGGAAAATCTGCCAACAACTGAAAATAGTCGACTTTTAGAAAGCAAACTGAAAGACAAACACGAAACAATAGTAAAAATAATGGATAATAGGAAAGGATGTTTCGAAATGACTCGTTGTAACATCGGTAATATTCGATGAAATTATTGTTGTCGAAATGTCTGAATAAGGCAAAAACTACTCATTTTTAGAAAGTAGTGTCGTGTAACACGCGAAATCGGTTAACTAAGAAATATTACAGTTAGTAATATCATATCTAACATCATTTTTACTTGTGTCAAGTATCATTAGACTTTTCTTAATAAGTTACATCTTTTAGAATAGTTGTTTTGTAAAAACTTAGGATTGCCATTCAGTTTCATTTAACCGCTATGTAAAACTAATGTGTAAACGGCTTCATTGTACATTTACTATTTCAACCATTCTTCTCATCGATGAAATCTAGTCTTATTCACAGGTTCCATATTTAGATTAACAAAACAGTAATGATATTTATTCATATCGATATTTATGTTGGAAATAGCCTGCCCACTACGTGAGTAATTTATACATTTATATACAAATTGTTGATGGTGTATTTTGGTATTTGTGAGTGCCAACAGGTGACCACATTCGAATAGATTACAGTTTTATGTATTAGACAGTCACACAGTATACACTGAAGCTAACTGTCTAAACGCGGATATAATACAGTATTAATCAAATTCACATTTTATTAGTCTCAACAAAACAGTCACTTCATCAATCGAAATTCGATCAAATCTTAATTTCCAAGAGATTTGGTCGTTTTCGTTGCAATGTGACTAAATCTCTATTCAAGAAATCTTCAAGTATTATCATCGTAAACTTTAATTTTTGGATTTATGTTATAATTTGTAAAGATTGCTTTATTATCGTAACATTGATTTATAACTGACAAACTAATTGACATGCATATTTTCAAATTATTTTCACTATTTATTCATTGAATCATCGTATTGTGTAAATAAAACCAGTGAACACTGAAAGGTGGTCATTTTAAAACATCCAATGTTCAAAACTTACATACAACCATTACAGTACAAAGTTTTATTTGGAATTGAATGTCAATCAGAAATTCAATGTCAAATTTACAATTATCGAAGGAGATAATTGTAGAATGTTACGATAAAATATTATCGACAATATCTTCAGTAAATTTTAATGTTATCGGTTCAAGTCTACAACTTCATTACATGAAATGTACGTGTATGTTTAAAGTACTTTCAAAAATCGACTAGAATATAAAAGGAATTCCAACTTCTACAAGGTAATTAGCATTTATCTTAATGTTTTTAGGATAAATCTACCATCGGGTTCAAATCTTATCGATTTTGTGCAAGTAATTACAAAGCATGACTAGGAGTGAAATGATGAGTGGATATGATTGAGGAGTTCCAGATTGCCATCAACTATTGAAGTGATTCAGAATGTTGGACAGACTTTTTATTGTTTACACAGGAAATTCTAAGACAACAAGCAAAACTCAGTGTCAAAATCATAGAAATTATTATCCCTCAGTAAATTAATAAGGTGTACATATTTCAATCTAATTAGAATCTTTTTCAAAAGAGTTTACTCAGAGATCTATAACATTACATACACAGACATGTATATGTGCCTTTAATACAAAAATGACGAGATTCGATAAACATACTTTCAAACAGCTGTCATCTATTGTATGTGATTTCCATGATTTCGTATGCTCCATTTCAGCTTGCAGTATAACATTATGCTCTGTCAGAAAATGATTATTTAATTCATTTAAAGATGAAAATACAACATGACAATGATTACATCGAGTTACTGGTTGTTTACCAGATGGACTACATTCAGTGTAGTTGACTTTTGGTATGGATCGTGTGGTTGCTGTTGTTGTTGTTGTTGTTGTTGTGGTGGTGGTGGTTGTCAGTGTTGACGACGATGTGACAGTTGATGACTGTTCTAATTGATTAGATTGTCTGTTCCACTGAATAAAATACGCCATTCGTTGATTTATATCAATATCAGTGAAGTGATTTCGCTTCCAGTGATTCTTCACATTACCAATTCGATCAACATCATCAGCAACAGCAGCAGCACTCATACGGGTATCTTTTTCACTCATAAAACGTTTACAACACTTTTTACTTTTCGTGTTGAATTCACAAGATGAATGTAATTGGTTAAATGAATCATTATTATGAATATTGTTACTAATGCGCTCATTTTCTTGAGTATATTCACAATTTAGTTGACAAAATGTCCATTGTTCATCATTGCTCTTGTGATTATACAGTGTAGTAGATCGGGTAGTAGTATTTGTTGATTGTGTTACTCGTTTGTGCACAGTAGATGGCATGCTTAAGTCTAAGGGAATTTCACATGTGTTTTCGTCCATATTCACTGTATCGACAAATTTTTGACAGTTTTTGATCGAAGGATATTGAGGAATGATGAATGGATTCGTGAAGCCTTGCTGAAATCCTGTTAAGACCGATGATTGATGCCTGTCTTTGCAGATACTACTATTTCCTTGATTTATATTATTACTATTATTGTTATCATAATCAGTATTTAAATTTGTCGTTTCGTTATTCTTAAAAGTAGTATTATCAGTAGTATCGGACAGTTTGCAGTCATCATTTATACTGTTTGATATCGATGATTGACAAAATGATGATTTACTGTCACACTTACTCAAATACTTAATATTATACATCATTTGACTCCGATTGATGAAAGTAGGCTTTGAAAATAATTCGAAAAAACAATGAAATGCATGCATGAAATGTTCATTCTTCTCATTTTCAGTTGCAGTTCGATCATTAAGCTGAACAGGCGTTGTATTCATTACAATTTATTGATAAATACAGAAACGGAGCTGATCGTGTTCTTTCCTGTTCGAATACAAAGAAGAAAATCAATCAGGTATGTGTCGAAATGTCAGAAGAAAAAACTCTACTGTTCTACTATTGTTAACCGGTGGGTGACTCACTTCTATTAGACAATCGACTAACACTTTACAGTTAACAAACCACTTTGGATGACTGAATTACAAATGAAAATATTTCATAGTTAAACTTCTTCATAATGTTTTGAATAGCTTGTCTTTACGAAAAAGTAGTCAAATACTTTGATGTTATCATAAGTGTCATTGGAATTGATCAGATAAAGGAGTTATTGATGATGAATGAATGATGATGAATGAATTGAATGTGGTCAGTAGTGGAATTCAAGTTGCAGGTTTTATCCTCGTCAGTACTCGTCAGCCATATTAACTTGCATCGCATAGTTGACATCTACTTCAAACTATTTCAAATCGGACATTTATATGAGTTTGTATTTACAAGACATAAAATAAGTATTCGAACAATTGAGTATATTGAACTTGAGTTAACATATCTTCATGAATTGTCAAAATAGTTTTGTGTTAGTTTGTACATTAGGACATAAAATATGCATAAATAATGGTGAAAAGATGTTCGGATCAACGAATACACAGGATATTGATTCTTGGATGTCCTGTGTTTATCTTATCATAAGTCGGAATAGTAGCATCATCTTTAGGGGTTAAAACAATTCGGTAAATGTAAACGTGTTTCTTAAGAAATATACAAAATACTAAAAACGAGAAGAGATTAGACAATCATGCCAGCGTATTATGAGATTCTTTAAAACCAGGAAATGACTTTAGATAAAAATGTTAATTAATAGATGTTGACTGTGAACTCACAGATAAACCGTCACCGGAACATCTGATATTCATTATGAAGGAACCCTTTGGTAGGTCATGCATATGACATTTATTCATATCTCAATTCGCCATACAGGAATTAAAAAAGGTTAGTTTTATATTGCGATTTGATTGTGTCAGCGAAAAGTTCACAAAATTGTAACCATTAAAAAACGTGTAAACCAAGTTTATTATTCCGGGTTTGATTAGTTCCTTACAGAAAGTTCATTCAGACTACTACTGGGAAAGACATTTGTGAAAATATTTAAAGATATGCTTTGTGTTTCATTTTCTAAGGTGTTTTACTACACATTTCATTGATATGAAATGTTACTTTCATAAACTAACATGCAACACAGAAAATGATTACACTGTCTGTTTTACTAGTTTACCTGCCTTATTCCGCTTAACATTTAACTTGATTTTGTAGATTTTCTGTTCAATGATTTCGATGAAATGATGAATTCATTGAAAAATGTACAAAACTTTCTTCATGCGAACACAATCAATACGTGTATAACCAAATGAAGACAGAGTGAGAAAACAATGACATGTTTGTACTATCCCATTGAGTAGAAAATGAAATTTTCGACATTTTGGACCTTCGTTGAAAACAATGGTTTCAATTGAGTCACAAATTGAGACAGAAATTTAATTGGCACCATTCAAATATATCATGGCTTCTCTTGTTAACTATCATTCAAGTGCTAAAACCATTCGACATAACCCATTCAAGTCTTGTGAAATATTTACTGTCAATTATGTTATAATTTACATGAAATTATTATTGCCTTATTAGTTAATAGTTGTTCTTCTTGCATAACGTACACTGATTACAATTAAAACATGAACTAACTGTAAAACTTTCCAAAATGAATTAATTGTATATCAATCAATGACACTTCATTCAATCAACATGACAGAAAAAGAAAATTTGATCAAGTATTATGCTAACCGGTCGATAAATGAGCATATAATTTCACAGATAATCGAAACTTTAGTTCAAATTAACTACCGATATTCATGTGAAACTCTATTTCCTCAATCAAAAGTCATTTTTGACCTACTGACCAACTACATTGTAAATGTAAATATTTTACAATTTCAAACATTCACTTCAATGTCTTACCTAAGTAATACTAGACCATGCACATCATATGTGAATGATAGTTAGCAATTCATTCTACTGTCCATAATCAACTATTGCAAATGAATTCGGTCAAGTTGGATAGTTAAGTGAAACATGAGGAGAAAACACAACGAAAATACAACACGATTTGCCTCTACTAAGCGCCCCCTCCCACCCTCTACTATTACTTATCTTATCCCTTACCCACGTATTCGGCTGTTTCTGTTTCAGTTTCCTGCCTTTTAGCTTTGTTCAACTCCCTTTTAATTTTTCTTCAATTTTATCATTCAACATGTGGTTGGACAGAAGTACACTTCAAACATTTCTCTGCTTTTCGTGTGTTAGTTGGTACATTAGTTTCCCTGACTCAAAAACGGAACAGGAATCGCATTGATTTCTACCTTATCCTTTGATGATTTGACAAAACATACAAGTGTAACATTCCTTTTCTGAACTCGCTTCTTTTATTGAAATACTGAAATTACAATATGCGCTGAAAAAATGATTGGCTCACTGCTGATAAACCATTTCCTCTCCCCCATTGATTTCAATGCTTAAACCAATAATTATGATTCAGAATATGTGGGAGGATTTTCAGTTGTATTGATTTGTAGGTTATGTATTAATTTGTCCCATATAAATCATGCTCGAATGGAGTGAAAATAATTATTTTTGTTAACGTTTGTGGGATTTCAGTAAGATTGATTTGGAAATAAGATGGGCATTATGTTGGATCGATCAGTTGATGCTACTAACAGTTAGTGAATGTATTACTGTCACTGACAATTACAACATGACTACTAATTGTGAGTGTCATGAAACGGAAGTTAACTGTTAGTTAATAAAAATATAGTGATTTTAATTTAGTACACTCAATTAATCGTATCATTTGACATATTTCAATGAGTTTGTTGAATCAACTATAGTTTTCACAGTATAAAAGAGAGTATGTCAGTGTTTTGTAGCCGAATAAGTAAATGGAAAAAAGTTTATTCAGAAATAATTCAATTGAATGGTAAATTTACATACAGTAGTCTTCGATTTATCAAACGATTTTGTAAATCAACAGCAAGACATGTTCTGTATCAGTAACAAATCTGTCAGATTACAGCTTTTCTCAACACAGATGATATTTTCAAGTAAAGTTGAGTAGTCGCTTGTCAGCTCGTGTACTTGTATCTCAATGTCAGTGTCCACATCAGTATCGAACCCAGTATTCCCACTTCAAATATCTAATGCGTCATCTACGAAGTTCAGATTGTTAGTGGCATGAGTGTCGCGAATGAATTATGCCATTTATGCCAAAAGGTTAACAATCACGAAGGGAAAATTGAAACTTAAGCCAGAACAAATTTAGTAGACAATAATCAACAAATAAATATATTAGTATTTGAATAACAAATCTTTCTGTAAATAACCATGAAAGTTGCAACAAATCAGCATTGTCTTCTGTGAACAGAGAGTTTATACTTTTGTAATTTACAATCGATGAGAAGAATGGTTGAAATAGTAAATGTACAATGAAGCCGTTCACACATTAGTTTTACATAGCGGTTAAATGAAACTGAATGGCAATCCTAAGTTTTTACCAAACAACTATTCTAAAAGATGTGACTTATTAAGACAAGACTAATGATATTTGACACAAGTAAAAATGATGTTAGATACGATATTACTAACTGTAATATTTCTTAGTTAACCGATTTCGCGTGTTACACGACACTACTCTCTAAAAATGAGTAGTTTTTGCCTTATTCAGACATTTCGACAACAATAATTTCATCGAATATTACCGATGTTACGAGTCATTTCGAAACATCCTTTCCTATTATCCATTATTTTTACTCTTGTTTCGTGTTTGTCTTTCAGTTTGCTTTCTAAACGTCGACTATTTTCAGTTGTTGGCAGATTTTCCAGCATTCCTGACATTGTCGAATGGTAATAAGCAACTTGAAGTCCATAACGTATGTGCGTCAGTTCAAATCCGCATACCACAATAACACAGCATAAATAAATGCTCGAGAAGAAGGCTACAAGACTAGAAGCAATAGAAGTAATAGTGGTAACAGAAAATATTAGGCATCCAACATATGATTAAGGAAAAGAGAACGAATTCAATTCAAAATAAATTGGCGTCATTCAATCATCAATTATTGATTTGTTTCCATAGCCAAATTTTACAAACTAAAACAATGAATGATGACATATACATATTTGCGAAATTATTACTTCAGTACCTAAGAAAATTGATAATAAAAATACTGGTAAAATATATACACATGAGGTCAGTCACTTTGAAAATAATTCACTGATAACATTTCTGTCTGTGAATCTGTGTGTTACAGGTTCACATTGAACGAGGAGCATTATTTCGCTCAGTATTTCAACTGTGACTCACTATCCGCCACAATGAACGTGTTAATATCAAAACATAGTTCATATTATGTCAAATCACTAGAACCCGTAACCATGCAATTGAATGCAATCATTGTTTAAAGTCTAAAACAAACGTGTCAGTGATTAAAATCTAGTGAATAATCAGTATCAGAGTAAGAAGGTTCAAGTTATTGATTACTTGAAAACAAAATACTTGCAAACTGAATTACATAATCTGCTTGCAACCAGTTTCATAAACGAAATGAAATCACATGATTATTATTTGATTTCTAATAGCTACTGAATGTTGAATTGAATAATATGTCCGAGAATATTTGAATTTACTAGCAGGTGAATGTCTGAAATGTAGCATGAGTAGATTTCTAATCTGTTTCACTAAATCGCAACGCAAACTTAATCTGTAAACCTGTAGATTAGTATCCACTGGTTTAAGTGTGTAACTTCAATCAATTCACGAAATTAAGCGATAATTATATGATGTCATTAGTGAATAATTGTCTCTCTTCAATACGGTCAAGTTTCTCACCATAAATCCATGAGTTCGCTTAGGTATGAGCTTCAAGACAGACTAATAGCTACATGAATGTTTGTT